TCTTTCTTTCTTTCTTTCTTTCTTTTCTTTGGATTTTAACCTTTAGCCTGCATATATTTTTAACACACTGTAAACCATTTAGAGTTTTTCTTTGTCTTTGAATCTCTCTTTACTGTATATCTCTTTTTCTGACCACATGAATATTTATGGAGAGGATTAAAGCCGTGGCTTTGACAGCTGGATCCAGCCCATTCCTTAGCTTTCCAGCCTTATGGTGGAGGGACTGGCCAGAGCCATGTTTATTGACACAACTCTATGGCATTTTATGGTCCTTGCCAGCAAGCTAGCTGCCACAGTGTGTCCAGAAACAACAGTCAAGCAGTCGGGACCGCCTGCTTGAAAAAGTCAGAGTTTGCCCTGCCAGGATGGCCCAGAAAGCTAGCATTTTAAAACAGCACAGCTTTTTTCCTACTATGGCTGAAAACCAAAACGCATGCCATCAGCTTTTCATCAACACCATTTAAGTGTTTCGTAGCAGGACCTCTTAAAGAGCTGCAAAGCAAAAGCTGAGTCAGGAAGCCTCTCTTAGATGAGAGCACTTGTTTTCCTCTAGCAAGCAGAGCAGATCCGAGAAATTGCCGCTATCAAGAAAACATGCTTTATTCTTTCCCAAGCTTTCTCAGGCATTCTGTGGATGGAGTTATCCACTTGGACACCATTCTGTAACATGAGGACCGGCTTATTGGGGTTTCTGTCAATTCTCCCGCACCAATATAGTCTTCAAGTAACTACAGCTATCTAGTCTTCAACCCCATAGAAGACCTGAGAAGGAAAATTAACTACTTGAGTAAACAGGAAGCACAATCAAGCAACTTTCTAAAAGTGCATATATTGACAGAGGCAATCACGCAAAGTCTCATTTGCAACTTTGGAGCAACCAAATTTGGCTAAGGCCTAGAGTAACTGACAGACCATTTTCAGAGGCAGGAAATTTTTTAATATTGTCTTACCCCATCTTGGCAAGGTTTGACAGTCTTTTTCCTTGTATCATTCTTGTCCTGTTTGGACATCATGCATTTTGTCAGTGGGCGAGACATGGGCAGTTCTTTGTGAAAGGTCATTTTGCAAAGAAGAAAACAAGCTACAAGTGGAGCGTCTTCAGAGCTCAGCATTCTCTCGGGAATAGATTGGTGCTGCCAGGAGCAATCATGACTCACATCAACAGAACCCTAAATTATTTAA